TAGTAAACATAATAGTATATAATCGAAAAGAAAGTAAACTATAATCAATAAAAAAGCAAGACCCTGGCTCTACATGGATAACCCAACAAAAATTTCCAACTAGAGAACAAACAACTACCAGAACCTACATCAATTGATCAAACACAAGCAGCCTAAATGATAAATTGAAGTGAAAAAACACTAAACAAAGAGAACCGTTTAACCATTTCGAATTCAGCAAAAGAAAACCGATAAAAATCCATCAAAAAAATCAAATAAATACTAGTCACAAACACACCAGATGATGTATTGGTTGAACGCAAACAGCCCACTTCATAAATTGAACTAAAAATTAAATTGCAAACAACCCACTTGATAAATCGAAGCAACGGTGTGAATAGAACATGAAAATTTTGACTTAAAAGTGTAAAAAAGAGTTGGGTACCATAAACGTCAGAAATAAGAATAACTCCAAGCTTGGAGTGGGTAGAGCCAGTGACATAAGTGCTAAGTCCACCAAGCTTCTCAACATGGCCGACTCCACTGCCTGGGTTCAAGTTTGGAGGATTCGCACAACATTGAGGACCTGCCATTGTTTTTTCACCTGGAACTGTAATCAAAACACTCCGAACCACAACTAGCAGGAGACTCTTAACCAACTATATAACAAATCGGTAGTCAATTATAAAGTCTTGCATCATCTCTGACATCACCATCATTTAACTCCCCTAATAAATATTACCCTTAACTAAAATCAGATAAGTTCGTTCTAGAACATTCTATTAGATATTTACGATTGTTTTGATGAAAAAGGCATGGCTAACGGCTTAGTTTGATCCTTTGACGGAAGGGGAACAATTCTTGTCTGGTCCATGCCACTATCTTATTTAATCTTATATGTATATATTTTTTTATGAATTTTCATTTTCATAACACCTGCTCTTTGACTGAAATTATATTAAATTATTAATGGCTTCATCTCATTCTCAGGGCTAGACAGCCAAACTGAGAGATATCATAGAACATCCTAACTGCCCAACATAGTTAAATTTATCAAAGTTGCGTAGCGCATTGTCCTTGTACCTTGAAAAGAAGAGAACTTTAGAAGAGGACAGATGAAAGGGTAGTAAAGGTTAAAGAATGTTCCATTTCTTTCTTGGGCCAACCCATAAAGGACACTTGTCTTATATCTTTATTGTTTTATCGCTTCTTTATGCTGGTTTCCCAGGACCACAAAATCCTGCCGCTGCTAATTTAGATCGCTCAATATATATAAAAGTTGTTTACTTGAGAATAAATCATGCTATACTTTTAGTCAACGTCTCTAGTACAATTCCATTGTTTCTTTCTTTTCTATACAAATAAGATAGCCTCAAAGATTATATCTTAGAACAATCCAACTGTATCTCTGACTTGTTTCAATCTTTGGAACATGCATTTTATTCTTCTAGGTAACTGATTTATTTCGTTTTGAATATGATGCAATACATATATATTTGAGTGATGCTATGGATACTAACAGATGGATACTAATCTGTGTACTAACTAAAGTATAGTATTCGTACTATACGTATAGTACCCGTACTATGCTTTAGTTAATACACAGATTAGTACCCATTTGTTAGTACCCAAAGTATTATTCTATATATTTTGCTGTATTTTAGTAATTCTCTGATAGGAACATCCTTACATTGATTTTGTAAAGACCATACTTGAATGTCATTGGATTCTTCTGAAAAATATCATTTCATCCAATAATTATGAATCTAATGGTATTCTAGAATGATCTTTACAAAATTAATATAAGGACGTCCTTACTAAAAAATTATTCTATACATATTTACATAGTTTATTTAGTCATCAAAATCTCGGAGTCTTTGTCCTAAAAAAAGTTTAATACCTTACAATACTCATAAATATATCTATAATCCTGAATTGCCTTATTGGTAGTAAGAATACACTAAAAGAAAACAAAATTCATTCGAGCAAGTTTGGACCCAAGTAAATACGTGCAAGTTTTATATTGTATATAGTTAGTCTATTTCTCCTTTGGAGAGTTGGTTATTGTATAAGCCCCTCCATTTATGCTAATTCAATTAATTTCCCTTAAAACTCTTTTGCACACCAAAATTCACTTGATTTTATCTTTTAGATACTTAAAAAGACAACATTTTACTACCAATCTCCTAATTTTTTTTTTTTTTTTAA